GGTCTGGGAAGATTCCCACATGCCGCGGAGCGGCTGGGCCCGTGAGCCATGGCTGCTGAGCCTGCGTGTCCAGAGCCTGTGCTCCGCAACGGTAGAGGCCACAACAGTGAGAGGCCCGTGTACCGAAAAAAAAAAAAAAAAAGTACACACACCTGGACTGCCACCCCTGTGGCTGCGATTCAGGAGAAATGTTCAGAAAGCTCCCCAGGTGATTTTGGTAGTCAGCCAAGTGTAGGAACTGCTTCAGTGAACTCCTTGAGGAGATCTTTTCCTCTGTGGTTTCCCTTTCTCCCATAGAGCCAGGCCATACCTTGTATATAATTGCATGTCATAGCATTCAGTATACGTGTAGTATATTCACATTGTTTGCAGGCTTCTAAACCCTTTCTTAGGATGGTAAACTGTATTCAATCTCACTTGTTTAATCTGTATTTATCCTTTAATTATCGATTTATCTAAAAAAAACCCACTGTTAAACGCCTCGGTCACCATTTTCAGGCTTGAGGAGATAGAGATTGTAAAAAGGCCTGTATTGTTACTATTTCCAAAGTGATGTGGGAACATGGAAGAAGGAGAAACTGTTTTGAGGGGGAATTCTGGGATGTTTGGCAACAGAGATAGTTTTGGAACAGGGCTTTAAAAGGATTAATGGGAACTTGTTTGCTCGAAAAATGGGAAAGGGCATTCCAATCAGATGGAACAGTGTGTGCAAAAGAACAGGGGCACGTAGAGGTCTGGGATATCCAGGGATCAATGGGAAGTTTAGGACTTGTGTGTGGAGAGGTACGGGATGAGCCTGGGGAGAAAGAGGTCAAGAAGCAATGCTGTGCTGGAAAACAGGCTCTCTTTCAAAAACAAAACAAAAAACAGCAACAAAAAACAAACCCCAAACCAAAACCAAAATCAAAACCACAAAGGAAAAAAAAAACCACCCTGATATGTAGAGTTTGCCAATTTCTGTGGTGTAAATACTCCCATCTGATTTCAAGTTATTAACGATTTAAGAACTGGCTCACAAAATTCCTAGGTATACAGTTGGTTCTGGTGGCCTGGTATCAGCTAGTTCCAGCACATGACTAACAGGAGGCAGATCCTTTAATTCCAAGAGATGTGCTGAAACAATTTTTTGCCCTTCCCCTTACGATGTCTGCTTCCACAGGATCAGAGTAGAGTGGGCAGATGAAATGCCCCATGGACCTGAAAACTCACAGTAGCTAATTCTCAGCCTCCTATTGCCCACCGGCAGTGCCCTTAGACCCAGGCAAGAGGGAGCTCTGTTTTGGTTCCCATGTTTAAAGGGCCTGGCTCTGATCCTCGGCAGGCATAGCCCTCCTCCAGAGAATGAGGAATCCATGGTGCCATGCCCAACAGGAGCCAATCTCCCCCACTTCTATTCATATTCTCCAGATGCCTGGCACCCTGGAATCCTCTCTGCAATTGGAGTCTTCCCCAAAAACCCCCTCCATAAGTGTATGCAGCTGATACCCGTGGGCTGGCCAAGGAGGGGCTGTTTGCCACAGGTACGGACAGAGTGTGGATGCGGAGGGCAGGGCGGGGTGCCCACACATATGTATGCTACACGCCGCCAAGTTTTGGTGAACTTAGAGGAGTCTGAGAATTCTAAGTGCAACCCTGGCTTTTCTAGGTCATTGTGAAGACATATTTGTCAAGGTAAAATAATAGAATTTATTTAACATTTTGTCAGCTGGATTTATAGTTTGAAATATTTAACTATGTGGTACATGGGCTTCCATTTTGGCTCTGTCCTGGGCCTGGCAACTCTCAGGGGTGGTCCTGGCCTAACCCCATTACCAGGGCGCATTCTAAGCCAAGGTAAGCAAACAACAGCCCCCGGGCAAATCCCTGCCCACTGCCTGTTTTTATACAGGCTGCGAGCTACAAATAGGTTTTACTTTTAAAATAGCTTTTAAAAATCAAGAGCAAAATATTTCATGACCTGTGAAAATTATGAAATTCAAGCTTCAGTGCCCCATAAATTGTTTAATTGGAACACAGCCATGCTCATTCATTTATATATTGGGCATGGCTGCTTTCACACTCTGACAGTAGAGTGAGTCGTTTTGACAGAGACTGTATGGCTCAGAAAGCTGGATCTATTTACTATCTGGCTCTTACAGCAAGTTTGCGTGCCTGGTCCCTGGAGGAGCAGACAGACAGGAGGAAGGCAAGAGGCTAGCAGTTCTCACGCGAGGTGCACGAGAGAAACACCTGTTGAGCTCCCAAACAGACCGGTGCCAGGGACCCACCCTCAGTATTTCTCGAATGAATTGGTCTGGGGTGGAGGTGTTTTCAAAACTTCCCCATGATTCTAATGAGAGCTGGGGCTGCTAGCTGCTGGGCTAAGGGGATTGGATACCAGAGGGTTTGGATTTCCCCAATGTTGGGCAGAATAAGGGACTTGTGCCTGCTTGCCCCAGGGATCCGCAAGGTACCCAGTTATTCGATTTGTTTGAAGATGGCGAGAGGGAAGAGAGTCATTGTTTCACACTGTAGTAGGATGTATAAGCTAAGTTGCATTTGAACCTAAATCCTTGAACCGCTGCTTCAAACATATGTCCCTGGATGTCCCCAGCATTGTCTGCATCTGTCAGGCAGGCACACCTTCGCCAGGACCCCCGCTGGGTCACTTCTCAGGATACACTCCAACTGGGAACCCTTACCCCATCTTTGCAGCATGCCCTCCGTAATTATTGGTGGTCTCACAGGGAAGGAGAAAAAAGACGACTCTATCAGAATCCCATTCTCCACCGGCACAGTCAGCACCATTGGCAGAGGCTGGCTCTGGGGCTGCAAGGCTGCTCCGAGCTATTATTGTGCCTGGCTCTCTCTCAGCATGACTCAACGCAGACAATATAGCACACCGAGAGCATGGGGGATGAACAGTAAATACGAAGCCTTGGATTTTTTTTTTAATCTTGTCAGCTTTCTCCTGATTTGTGTCCTTTATCCTAGCCCCCTCTGCTGTATAAGCTTCTCAAAGCTAATGCCCATAACGCCACCACCCACTGGTAGCAGCAGGCTGCTGGGCCACGGCGGGGTCCTCATGGCGGAGCTTTACAATGCCCGCCATTCTTCAGCGACGGTACGCGTTAACCTAGTGGCACCGGGTTGCTCCGACACCTTCCCCTCTGGTTTCTCTTTCCTCTGGGGGCCAATGGCAAGGCTGGGAGTACCGCCCTCCTGACTCTAACTGCTTGCCTCTGCGAGCACACACCACATGCTCCAACCTGGCAGAGCTGGAACAACGGCCCTGCTGAAAAAGAGCAAGGCAACCCTGGGCAATTATGGAGCTGAGAGTTGACTGTCATCTCTACTTCCACATTAAAAAAGTTAGAACTATTTCTTCAAGCTATTTCTTTGGCCTCTGGTAGATACCAGCCCTCCACCTCCTCTCTTTTCTCAAGAGCTAGTGGGATTAAATCAACCCAGGGATGCGGTCAAGCCGACCGCCGAGGCTGCTGGAAATGATGTCAGCAATGGGCATCTGCGCTACTGTCACTGAAGTGGGACGATGGCATACATTTTGCTCCCTTGAAACAGCTCCAAGGAACAAGTTATGCTTTTGACATCTTTCTAGTTCTAATCAGTTTCCAGGGTCACTTGTGGCTCCCATTTAAGAAATGTGCCTGTTATCTCTACCTTGGCTACCACGACGTCTGCCTCTACGCCATCTCCTATCTCAGAATCCACTGGTGGTGGCAGGGCTGTGTGGAAGTGCACGTGCCTTTGGCATAGGTGACTTGCTGCTTTAGGGGAGACAGCAGGGGCTGGTGGAGGCTGGAGATGCGGTGGCTCTCACGAGCTTTTGTGGAATGCAATATACATCAACTGAGAACACTTACATTCGGTTCTGTGAGTGTCAGCTTGTGAGGGCTTCCAAACTAGGAAATCACAGAGGTTATAGGAAAGGAGCAAGGGAAGGGAAACCTGAGGTGGGTGCTGCTGGGGTGAGGGTCTGTGCAGGGGGTCGTAGGTCTTCTTAACATGAGATATGAATTTTGATTTTTACCTTCAAGGAGAAACATTTTAAAATCACCAAATAGCATATCTAGAAGTTGATGACTGTATCTGGTATGAACTTTATTATCCATTGATGGGGCTTTGTTTGGGGTTATGAAGTTGACAGATCCGACAAGAAGAGGTGATGATAGAAATGAAACTGGCCTCCCCAAGTGGCACTGTCCATCCCAGCGCGGCTCCCAGCAGTGCTGGGTCAGGTGCAGGCGCCCACTAGGCCGTGTTCAGGGAAATGTGCTCAGCTCCGAGAACACTAACGCTTCTGGCAGAATGTCAGCGTGCTCAGGCTTTGATTTGTGTTCAATGGAGGGTAACCTACTCACCTCATCTTAGTATATGTGCAAAAAAAAAAAAAAAAAAGAGAGGAAGAGGCAATAAAAGATACTAGTAAGATTGTCATTAAACAAAACCAGATTGGCTCCAATGCACAGAACATGTGGTGAATGTCAGTAAGGACCTGGGGGAATTGTGAAGATCTTGGAGCTCACAAGATTTGTTTTGCACAACCTCTAGTCCTTTACCTGCATTCGGCATAGCAAATCAAGCAGAGGGAGGGTTTAACAAATTTCTGGAACATGCCAGCTAACTCACTCCTTCCCACATCCAAGAGCATTGTGTGTTTGGTCTCGTTTGCATTCTTTTTTTTTTTTTTTTTGCGGTATACGCGCCTCTCACTGTTGTGGCCTCTCCCGTTGCAGAGCAACAGGCTCCGGACGCGCAGGCTCAGCGGCCACGGCTCACGGGCCCAGCCGCTCCGCGGCATGTGGGATCTTCCCGGACCAGGGCACGGACCCGTGTCCCCTGCATCGGCAGGCGGACTCTCAACCACTGCGCCACCAGGTAAGCCCCTCTTGTTTGCATTCTTTAAGAATGGTTGTGTCTAAGAGTTTTTAAGACAGTGTTTCTTTGATGGAGTATATGGTGTTATTTGGTACCCACCAAGAAGATGTAACAAGAAAATGTACAGAGATTCTGCTATACTTTATTCCATATCATGTTACAAGAAAACGACAGTGACAGCTGACAAACCATTACGTCTTTCATAATACAGACAAATTACAATTGGTAACAAATATGCAACATGTATTATTCCATTCTCCTTACTATGTGTCATTTTGAAGTATAATAATTTTCTGAATGCTAGCTCATTTCTTAGGTACCAACCCCCTGTTAGAAAGTACACATCTCAGTGTACCATACAAAAAAAAGATAAAAGAAAAATTTTTTAAATCCACTCCCAACTAGAGAGAATGTAGATTTTGTATGTGCCTCTAAAATATGCTGCTGTAGGAAGGGAATGAGAATAGGAGATTGCTTATTTTATTTGAATTTTGTTTGGTTTGGTTTTTGGTGTATGAGAAAATTGCAAGGCAGTAACTTATATGGTTTCCTCTGCCTACAAGCTGGTAAGGGAGATGGGAGTTATATGCAATTATGCAGCATATTCCTATGTATAGGGGCAGGCAATAATCTACCCCAGTATGTACAGCCTAAACATCCTCTTATATAACAAAGATTACAAAACCAGTAATATTCACAGATGATTATCTTGTATAGACGCATTACCTAGGGTATTGATTACACTGGCTATCATGTACACACTGAGGAAAGGATACCAAGAGACCTTGCTTTCTCCACAAGCCTGGAGGCTCCTCTGGAAACTCTTCTTGTCACCCTTGGGAGGTAGAAATAGCTTCTCATCCTTGTGTCAGGGGACGGACAGCCACTCCCGCCTTATGCCCCCGTTTTTTTTATCTGAGCACTGCAAACATTTTTTTTTCATGTCCTATGTATCTTGTATTTATTTTTAAGTCAACCAAACTCTTCAAGAAAATGGACGTGAAGTCCCAAGTTGCCTTTCAAAATACTGTGTGTGCAGTGACGTCACACGGATACAGCTACCATGCTAACGTGTTCTAACTATTCCAGCTGTTTGAATTCAAGCTACTCCTTCATATAAAAATAATCTCACAAAACATTCCAGTGCTTTCTCAATAGAATAGTAAATCTGTTCATGAACACAGTCTGTAGTGATTTTCATGGCTGTCCTCAGCGAGAGGAGGGAAAAAAAAAGAAGGTGTTCGCAAATGGGAGAGGAAAGAGAGAGACAAAGTAAACTTTGATGTTCTGCACCAATGGCAAGCATGGGGAACCTAAAACCTCCTAAATGAGACCCTTCTGAGACATATGTCTCTGTAATAAAACAGATTTACCTCCCCCACTGAGAAGTATTACGTTTCATTTCCCAAGAGAAGCTGCCAATGACGGGGGCATGTATCTCTGAATAACTCTAACATTTCTAATTGAAGTCTTTAAACATTAAATATTTTCAAAATTTCAAGTTAGAAAGCTTATTACATAGCAAGACTGAATCATCATCAGCCCTTGGTTTAAACTTCATTAAGTACAAAAGTTATGCCTCTCCCCCAAATGAATAATTCAAAATAAATCACAGGAAAGGCCGTTTTTTGATTGCACGTAAAGTTTTCTCTCCACATTTACTTTAAGAAATCCTAATGTAAATACATGTTAAATCAAAATACCTCTAAAGACTGCCAAAGAGTTGGAATGTATGAAAGGAGAATGGGAAGTATTTCTAGGTAGTGAACAGTAAGCATTCTGGCCTTGGATAACTTTTCCACTCTTTAAAATCAATCAGTAAATAATTCCTCGCTTAGCACTTAGAAGCTTACAATGAATACTACTTTGGACAAGATGGATTGTGACCTGACATCTATACTCACACCCCACTCCAGGGGAAGTACTGTTTTAATGTTTAGAAATTCTGGGTCCAATTTCCTAGGTATACTGGGTGACTATAGAAAAGCCTTTCCTTCACCTGACTCTCAGGGAAAGTTTTTGTCAAACTGGCTCATAATTCCTACTCTTGATCCTAGAAAGTGCGACACGTTTCAAGTTCTCAGCCTCTCCTCCTCTCTACTAGGAAATGTAAAACAATGTACACGAAGGTATTTCCATAAGAACTGGTGTCCTCAGGAGCTAGGTTTCATGCTCGAGATGAAGTTTCCTAGCTGCCCCAGTGTTATTTGGGGTCTGCAGTGAGGCCTGCCCCACCGGGAACAGACCTGCGCCAGGCAGCTCTCCCTCTGGATCAAAGCACGCGCATGCCTAATCCACCTTCCCCTCCACGTCACATACTCGCCTTCATCCTCCAAGGTCTCTCTCTCCTAAACAAGGGAAGCCGGGCCTTTCCTTTTTCCCTTTTCCATCTTTAAAGCAAGACTCCTGCCTTGTTTCTAAAACCTGCGTCCGAACAGTTATTCCTGGAGACTGCTTAAAGTTAGGGTACCCAATGATGCCTTCCAATTAGCCTGGAATGTTTAGAAAAATGTAGTTCAAAGGTGTTTTGGTGTAAATGAGCAAATTTCAAACTCCGGATAGCTTTGTAATTTGCTTTTTAAATGTTGACTAGTAAAGACAGCATTCAGGGCTCATCTAGCAGATACAATTCTTTTGCACCCGTGCTTTAAACAAACATTCTGTTCCTCACTCTTTTCACCATTTAGAAAATACTCACAAAGCGTAACAAAGTGGATGGAAAAAGATAAGCTGTTGACAAGACCCAGAAAGCATTTAAAAAGCTACCTCAATTTCTAGAGGTTCAAAAGGAAGTGATTTATCCCTGTCTTTGTTCTTAATGCTTCATATTTGTTTCTTCACTTCCAACCTGCTCGGAGAACAGTCATGCTATGTGGCTTGAAAATGCTAAGCAGATTCTGATATCCTATATAAGTGTGCAGTTATTTCCAAGAAAAAAAACAAAACAAAAACACACATTTGCCAATGTCCTTAAAGAGACAAGTGGGGTCCCATGGCCAGGGACCAAGGTGTCAAGTCAGTCAGAGAACATGGGTGTTTTTTAGCTATAGTTTTCCTTCCTGGTGGTTGCAAAATGTGCATTGCTCTCAAAGAAAACACACATTGTTTTATGCCACTATGTGGCTTTCAAGTACAGACATTACTGAAGAAGTGTGAACACTGAGTGTGTTGTCTTAATGTATTTAAGACATGGCTGGTGAAAGCATAAAAACCTTTACAGAGACGCCGTGGTGCAGAGGGAAATCAAAAAAAATCAAACACAAAAGACTGAGAAGAATACATGCCATGTATCAGTAAGCAAAACTTAATCTTCACATAGTTCTTGGAAATCACAAGGTATCCAAATGCGTGCAAGGTTTTAAATAAATTGCAGAGAAAACAGGTCTTGCCAGCTTCAATTTTCTTGTAAGTGAAATCCACCACAGGGAGTGAAAGGAGACTGATCCGTGATTCCCTTCGTATTATTGGCCACTTCATTAATGGTTTTTTTTCCTTCCCAGAATGATGACAACTTAATCCTGGAAGGAGGAAAAGAGAAAATTGTTATATGTTAAAAACAAAACAACCAGGAAAACCTTACATCATTCATTTTTCCTAAATTACATGAGACATCAGAATTGGTCAGGCCAAAGTGAGCCTATCCATTCTTTCCACAGTGGCCTCGAGCACACATGTTGGAAGCAGAGCAGTCTCCTTAACCAAAACAGTCCTTATAATACGATAAACAAATGCTCTGATTGCATTTTCTACTGTTAATTTAACTCCATGAATTTAAATGGTCTAACCTCCTCTTGGATTATTTAGAGAAAAAGAAATTCAGCAAATTTCCTTCCCCAAATCATTAGCACTAATACTGGTCTTAATTAAATGCCTGTAGCATCATACAGACCATTAAAAGGATGTATCGTGTTCATTTTTATGAACATGAAATAGAAAAACGGATCACATACATGTTTTTAAAAAAATCCAGCTGTATATCATTCCACAGTGCCGATTATCAGACCTAGTTTCAGCAGAATGAAAATTGGCCCGCGTGACCTGAATTGCCAACCTCTTCCCAACATCCTGCATACAACTGTGCATTTCCGATGATGCCTGCTTAAATTCGGTAACTACTTCCATGTGAACGGTTCAAGAAGAAAGAAGGAATGTTCACTCTGCTTCTCTCTCCGTTTCTTTTTTGGCCCTTAAGCATTTTCATTGAGTTTCTAGGATGGGAAAATAATGTCTTGCCAGGAAGGGTGAAAAGAAACACTGTCAGGGTCAAGTCGCACAGCCCAGAGATTCGATCCATCAGCTCCACTGAATCCCAGAACCAACTCATTATCTCAGTTTAGAAGCTTGAGGTCACTGAGGCCTGGTCAGGCCTGCTTGTCCCCTTCCACACTGCCACACAGGCATCTTCTCTGGCAGACAGGGAACAGTGGTCTTTTGTCAAGACTTTGCAGTGCAGTTGCCCTACTGCTGCCCTTGAAGGCTAGGGTACCAAGCACATCACCCCTGAATGGCACTACCTTGACCAAGGGAGCAACAAGTTCCAATCTTACAGTTAAGAACCATTAAAACAGCATCCTCTCCACCCTCTAACTCATTTCCCCCACTTACTATGATGATTTTTGGAAGGTTAACCTTCCACCCTTTTTTAAAAAATTGAGGCTAAATTCATATAACACAAAATTAACCATTTTAAAGCATATAATTAACTGGCATTTAGTGCATTCACAGTGTTGTGCAACCATCACTTCTGTCTAATTCCAAAACATTTCTGTCATCCCCAAAGGAGACCTTATATTCTTTATTTACATATCTTATATCCTTCATTCTCATTCTTCTCTTGCTCCAGGCTCCTTGGCAACAGTGAATGTGCTTTCTTGTCTCTGTGTATGAAATATCCATTCATGAGTTGATGTATATTTGGGTTATTTTCACCTTTTGGCTATTGTGAATAGTGCTGCTATGAACATTAATGTACAAATATTTGTCTGAGTACCTGTTTTCAATTCTTTTGGGTAACACTTGGTAGTGGAATTGCTGGGTCATATGGTGATTGTTTAATTTTCTGAGGAACTAGCAATCCATTTTCCACAGTGGCTGCACCATTTTATAATCCCCCCAGCAATATACAAATGTTCTAATTTCTCTACACCTTTGCAAACGTTTGTTATTTTCTGGTTTTTTGTTTTTGTTTTTTCTTGATCATAGATAGCCTAGTGGGTATGAACTGGTATGGCACTGTGATTTTGATTCACATTCCCCTAATAATTAGTGATGTTTGAGCTTGTTGGCCATTTGTATATTTTACTTGAAGAAATATCTATCCAAGTCCTTTGCCCAGTTTTAAATTGGATTGTCTGTTGTTGAGTTGTAGGAGTTTTTTTTAAAAATATATTTTGGATATTAATCCCTTGATTTGCAAATATTTACTCCCATTCTGTGGGCTGCCTTTTCACTGTATTGATAGTGTCCTTTGATGCACAATTTTAATTTTGATGACGTCCAATTTATCCATATTTTTCTTTTGTTTCTTGTGGGTTTTGTGTCACAAAGTTATGAAGATTTTCCCCTATTGTTTTCTTCTAAGAGATGCCAGCTTTTCCAGGAAGCCTGCCCACCCTGGCGAAACAGGAGTCAGGGTTTGTCCTGACATCTGCTTGCCTAGACACAGAGTTCCTACAGCCACGCCCGAATGAACTAGTCATTGCCTGGCTCTCCTCCACTCCACCATTTTAATCAGTAGGATGCAGACCTGGCACCCAAGCCTGACCTTTCTGAACTACAGACTTCATGTAGTCCCTGTGGTCTGAGGGTGTTTGCTGTGAGGGAGCATGTAGGGTGGCAGGTGATTATATTCTTGATTAATCTTGGTTTTGTTCGCCATTGTGTCTCCTCTAGAGCATAGCCCAGACCTAGCTCAGGTAGTCAGTAGACAGTTGTGGAATGAACAGGAAGGGGAAAGGTAGAATCTGAGAACTTGGGAGTGGAGTATGTTCTCAGATGTTATTCCCTCCTGGCATGGTGACCAAGGGCAAATGCTGTGCCTATGCTCTTGCTGAAAGAGCACAGTGCTGGGAACAGAGGTGGCCATCCACAGATACACTACAGGCTGAGAAAGGTGGGTAAGATTAACACCTTCCTGTAGGTCAAACATTTTTGTTTTAACTCCATGACATTCTATTTGAAAAAACTGATTTGATTTTCAATATATCTGATTTTACGTAACCATATGTGCGCACCATCATCCATGGCATGTTACTCTCCTATTGGGTTGATTTAAGACTTTCTTTTAGTCATTCCTGGTGTTTGTCCTTGCCTTTGCGCTGATTCTTTGGGTGTAATCTCTAGGAGAATCATGTACCTAACCCAGGGCATAAGCAGAGTTGGATAATAAAGGATAATACAAAATAACAGTAATCGATAATAAAAGGTGAACAGAGTGATTATGAGATGTCTATTACTTAGGTTTAGGTTCAGACATTTAATGAAAGGAGCCAATAATACGAAAAGAAGGGAGATGCCAGTGAGAGCTAGACCCTTTCCCATCTCTGTGAGCAGCTGAGCCCAAACTGTGCCCACTACCCTGCCTAATATTGTTCACCGGCAGCATGGGATGTCCTTTCTTCCTCCTTGGGTGGCATCAGCATCTGTTTCAGTTTTCAAGGACTGCATATGAGGTAGGTGAGTTTACTGCTAGAAGAATTCTTTAAAATCTAAATGTAATCATGCATTTGACAGGTGGGGATATAGGTGGAAGGAGAGGGCACACAACATTCATAGGGAAGCAAAGTATAATAGCAAAATCCTTCCTTACATTTAATTGATTATTAAAATGCACCACACACACAATACAAATGAAACTGAATATAAATTATAAACTGTGTGCAAGTCAACTCCTAGGTATATAAACCATAAGATTAATGGATGCCATTTATATCTTGCTTTCTGTTTTTACAATGTTCTTTCTCTAGAAATGCATGTTTTTAAAGAAGAAATTGGATTTTTATTGATAAAATCCTTATTCAGAAATATCTACATAGAGCTTCTCAGCTATAAATATTAATTAATTGGATTGCTAGTACCCATAATGCAACTTTGTTCTGACCCATGTGCCCTATGAACTAGATATTTTTTGGATTCAATTTTCTTAAAACCAACTGTCAGCATCATGTGATGGAGGAGATGAAAAATGAAAATGAGCAGCCCCGCTGTGCAGGTGGGTGACCTGTGGGAGAGAGTCTGCCTGGTAGGATTTTTACACCAACCATCAGACACAGACCAATTGATTAGATCATCTCATACCCGCCACCAACTAGGCTCAAGAGACTAATTAGAGAGAGTACTGCCTGCGCAGGCACCCCATTGACACCTAATTTGCTCAGCCAAAGCCTTTGGGGAAAATGTATTATCTCTGCAGCTGCACTTCATGCATTTCTGATTTGAGGCATAAGCAAGGAGTGCTTCATCACTCTTTTGAGCAAACTGAATGTAGAAGCCCTTAAGTGCTAAATGCAAGCAAACAGACCCAAATTAAAAATGGGCCAGGCTCTTTCTAATTCCCTCTGTGCTCCCTGTTAAATCTCTATGTGTACACATACACACACACACCCTTACACATACACAAACACACGCAGTTTACACGCCAGTGGGACAACACAGCCCAGTACCCCAGCTCAGGGTGCTTCCATGTAATCAGATGGTCTCTCTTTTGCTGGCCTACTTACCCACTCTCAGGTTTTGTGTTTACTTTTTACTTTTTTAACCCTGCTGCAGCACTGCCCCTCCACAAAGTATTCTTTTTTCTACAGGAAGACTCTGGCCCCCCCCTTTTTTTTTCTCTCTCTAAGCCTCACTGGAGAGAAGTGATTATCTTGCTTCCAAATTAAAACAACTGTAGGTTTTCTTTCATGGCCTAGATTGTGAACAGGATATTCACCAGGATGTATGTGAAGCTACACATAGGGTAGTGTTGGGTAATCCGCTCATTTCTGTTTGAGGGACTTCTGTGTAAACCTAACAGAAAGGGAAGCAATTTGATGTAAATAAAGCTACCGCCCAGTAGCAAAGACAGTATAGAATTATAAAATAGTTAACCTCTCTTCAAGAAAAACAATTATATTATTTGACCACCTTTAGCTTTTATCTGTTTCTAACCTAGAATAAAATTAACTCCACATTTCCTTCTTTTCAAATGTGGAACCCAAAAGACCGGTATATAAGGAGGAATTTAAAGACAGGTGTATAATTAATCACATGCTTTAAGAAAAAAAGGAAATAAAAATGAAAAATCCAGACAATATGGAAAAACTAGAGTATCTCTGTGCCAAATCTAGTGGCTAGGGGGAATGAATTTCCTTAATGCTGGAAAAGGAAAAAAAAAATAGGACCTGCTGCTATGGTGTGTTTTAGAGTGGACTTAATGATTTTATGCCTTTCCACTCCCATATTGGATGAATTATTTTACCCACGTGTTCTGGTAAATTACAATTCTGCTTTGTAATCTTCATGTTTATCTTATTCTTAA